ATTGTGTACCAATGAGGGAGTTTTTCTTTTGCTTTTCAAGGAGAGGAGCAAACGGGGGGTGGGGGGAGGAGGGGTTTGTGCGGAGAGAAGAGTGCAACAATGAATGACTGGAATTCCAAAATCTCTGTAGATGTTCATTGAAATGAAAAATAAACTAAATTTAAAAAAATAATTAAAAAAAAAAAATGAAAAAAAAAAAAGGAACAGAGCTTCAGCCAGACACTAAAAGAGGGGTAGCATCTTTTGCTACCCCTCAGTTGGGTAGAGCATCAAGGACTCACACCTTCTTCTGCACAAGCTCATTAAAATTTCCTTCCTTTAATGTGGGTAAACTTTGAATATGATGAGATCACTTTCTCTTAATAACGTTAGGTTATGTATGACCACATCTCAGCAGAATGAAGGGAGATTCTCCTGCTGGCTTTGAAGAAGAGAGTTTCCATATAATAATTACAAGAACATATGATTAGGGTCTGCAGATGGTGTTTGGAATTGAGACATGCCCCATCAGTTAGAAAGAAAATGGTACCTCAGCCTTTCAGGTGTGAGGATCCTAACGCTCTGATTGGAGTGCTAGCTGGGAAGGCGGCCCCTCTGGGACCTTGTGTAATATCCTAGGGAGACCCTGAGCAGACGATGCAGTCAAGAACAAAATAATGTAAATAGTCTAGTGACCATCAAGAGGGAACTAGTGAAAGAAATGATTCCATGTCTATAAAATAGAATATTATTTGTATAGTAAAATATACACCAAATGGCCACCATTTGGGTAAAAGGAGGAGGAAATAATATATACTTGCTTTTGCTTGTATCTCCATAAAAAGCTCTGATCATTGAAAACATTTTTAAAAAGTTGTTGTCTTTGAGAGGAAGAGCCAAATGGGCAAATGGGAGGAAAGTTAGGCAGGATGGCACTGTATATATACTTTTTTTTAATAAAAATTTTCAGCTGAAATACAATAGTTCCTATTCCATTTCCCTTCTAAGATGTTTTACAAAGTTTCATGTATTCATTCCTTGCTGCCACACAGGTGCTTCTTTCAGATAACTTGTATGATTTCTATGTTTCTTTGCAGACTCTGCACTTTGCCCTCTTTCCCTAAGAGCCCATCCAATAAACCTCAGAAACAGCTACAGACTCCCCAAATGCTACTTTTCAGAGCTAGACCTTCAAATGCTATCTTAGAAATTCTGTGTATGCCATTCCTTCATGGTTACCTACTGCTACAACCTATTTAAACCCGTGACAAACATCTATCTGAACTATTCCAAGAAACACCCTACTCACTGTTTCCCTATCCAGTCCATCAAGGATGATGTTAGCTGTTGTTAAGTTGTTCTGAGTTGAGCATGAGTCATAGGAACCCTATCAACAAAAGATCTGAACCCTGTTCTATATTGTGCCATCCTCACACTTCCTGATACACAACAGCCCATTATAGCAGTCACCACATCAATCCACCTGGCTGAGGGTCTTCCTCTCCTTCGCCAACCCTCCACCCTTCCAAGCATCATGTTTTTCTCAGAGGAATAGCCCCTCCTAGCAATATGCCCATAGTATGTGAGGCAAAGCCACACCATCTTTGCCTCCAAAGAGCACTCTGGCTGCACCCTATCCAAGACATATCTGTTTGTTCTCTTGGCTGTTCATGGAA